GTGTTGATACTCATAGGTATGAGACACTATCTCATGCTTCTGAGATAGATAATGATTTTGAGATAGCGTTTAAAATTTTTAATTACAGGAAGTTTTATTTATTTTTTGTTTGTTTGTTTGTTTGTTTGTTTGTTTGTTTGTTTGTTTGTTTGTTTGTTTGTTTGTTTGTTTGCTTTTTAATGTGGCAGAAATGGATTTGTGTTCTCAATTTTCCAGCTTCAGCTTTTATTTTTACAAACAAATCATGTTTTCCCTTTAAAACTATTAATCAGTGTAATGTTCAGTTCTCACGCCATTACATGTTTGTTTGTTTGTTTGTTTTTATCTGATGCAATTGTTTTGTCTTGTACAGTTTCAGATTTATTTACGGTACTGTACGATATGATGAGCGGTGATGATTTATCGCCCTTCCTAACCTGGCATTAGCAGGGTGAATTTGATCAGAATTTTCAAAATATTTATTTCAAACCTATTAAGGCCAAAATGATAATTTGAATATTTTAACAGGGGTTCTCTTAACTGGGCTTTTATTTTAAAAAAAGTTTACCGACTCACTTCCTGCCTGGTTTTGTCAATTTGAGGGTAAACTTGACTTTGCTCACTGTCTCCATCAGACACCGGCGATCCGACGCCCTGGAGAAGATAACCGAACCCGGGGAGGAAAACAACATAGGTGGGCAATGTGTTGCCTTCAAGTGTGGCTCGTAAAACGCAAACTTTCAGCCTGTTGCGTCTCTGGTAAGTTTTTATGTCACAAAATAGCCATGGAAAGATTATTTACTGAGGCTATTTAAATTAAATATGAACTTTAATAATAACATCTTGACCTGATGATGAATTTAAACCAAATGCAGATCGTTTCTGGGCTCATTTTATAACTTCAACTCATTTGAACTTCAACAGGTTTAACATTTCAAATGAGTGATCTACACTCTGTATTAAATTGTTTTAGGCTATTGGGTAGTTTTCAAGGAGAGTTTAGATATTTTGATGGTATTCAGTGGATATAATATAAACATTACGTGTTGAATAACTCCTTTGAAGTGCAAACAAGACTTGTAGTTATGGGGAAACGGGGTTTGACCATAGACCACTGAAAAGCTAACAGCCAGTCTGAAACTGGTCACGTTCAAACAGTATTTATGCTTAAAAC